AGTGTTCCTTACGATACAATCGTTATTGGTTAACAAGGCAGGATTGAGGTAAATGATACGTTCTAATAAATAACAAACTGATAGGGCAGCAATGAGTCAACTTGGAAGGCAAGTTGAGACCACCCTTCTCGATTGGAGGTTCTGGGCTCGATGTAACAATGTTGTTTCTGTAACTGAACCGCTAGTGCGAGTGTTAAGGTTAAGGGACTCTGATGATAAACTCGTAATGGGGTTTCTGTTCGATGCAATGAGACGCGCAATGGAAGCTATACTTGATAATAACATATGGACTGAAGAGATATTGGAGATCGTTGATCATAGGTGGAGAGACCAGTGCAGCAGGTAATTTATGATTCATTATCGCAATTCATGATTCTTTTTCAACTTCGAGTAAAGTTATCGTAATTAATAATATAACAAACCATGTGTAGGGTTCTTTCTTAATCCATAAAATTTGAACTCCAATGCCACTTTAGATGATGCAGATATCATGGAGGGGGTAAAAATTGCATCTATAGGCTTGAGCATGATATTGAAACTCAGATGGAGTGTATGCGGCAGGTAAACCTTAATCAAAACGTGTCTGTAATAAAATTTCAATTTAGAATAATGAATTGCATTTTTATGTCGTAGTAATTTCTTGTATACGCATGTTATTTCTAGCTTATTATGTATATGGAAAAAAATGGGGAAATTGCATACAACAATGCCAAAAAAGCAGCAGGAAAATTACACCCAGTTGGTTTTAAGTTAAAACTTGTAATATTTTAGTACAATACTATTTGTGGTTTCTTTTTTTTTTAAAATCAATTTATTTTCTATTGTTAAGTATTTCTCTGTCTGTCTGTGTCAGCACAATGGTGGACGATACACGGAATTCGAACAAAGCAATTGCAAAAGATTGCAGTTAGAATTTTGAGTCAAACATGTGCTGCTTTGGGCTGTGAGAGAAACTGGAGTACATTTCAGTGGATACACACCTCGAGGCGGAATAAGTTAAAGACTCAGATGCGGCACAACTTGGTGTACGTTCATTACAATTTGAAATTGAGAGAGACATATAAGAAGGACCCCCACAGATTACACGTCGATCAACCTTGATTACATCTTTCGGAGGGACCTCCCCCATGAGTGGGTATCACTAAGGACCCCACTATTAGATCAAGATTTTCTCAGTGGGGCAGTTGCCAATATGAATGACAATGTGGATGTTGCAGCATCAAATGGAGACATGACAATGGACAAGGATCACGATTATACACAGGATGAAAATGAGGCACAGGATGATAAAGAGACAGATGGGACAATGGAAAACAACTGGCGAGAACCAGTCATCCAGGAATGTGAAGGTGCACAACATCATGCTGTGTCTGTGAACAAGAAGATTTAATGACATTGGCTCGGGAGGAAGTCGAGGCATCGAGGAGTAGAAGTTACTCGACAAGCGATAGACGGAGCTGTAGTCGTCACCGTAACCTAGTTATTCATGATGATGATAATATTGAAGCTGCTAAGGGCCATAACACAGAACAGGGTGGGGGTAACACAGAACAGGGTGGGGGAGAGCATGAAGGTTGACCGAGTCTAGGAGACTTTGGCCAAGGGGGTACCACGGGAAATGTTTCTGAGTGGCGAGGGGGCACAACTGCGACATTACAGACTCCTCCAAGCCTTACTCAGATTACTACTAGCTATTGTTAGTTGGACTTTGTAATTTCATTAATTGAATTAATGTGAAATTATAAATTAAATTAATGTGAAATTATAAATTAAATTAATGTGAAATTATAAATTGTGTTGCATATTTCATAGTATTTAAATATTAAATTATTTAAAAGTTGTTTCAATTTTTTTTTATAAGATAAATGTATGTAATGGATAATATACGCTTAATATGGGTTTTTCTATTTTTTTCTAAATTTTTTAAATTTTTTTGGATGTTTTTTTACCCATTTTTTTTTTTTTAAATCTACTTGACCGGTTAGTCCGACAAACCGCCCCTGTTTGTTCGGTTCTGGTTCAAACTGCTCCCAGCCCGAAAACCGTTTAACCGTTTCGGTTCGATTTTGCGAACACTGGGTGGAGTTGACAGCTCCAGAAAATACTCCAAATTATGTGCTAGAAATTCCTGTGAGAGAGCATAGGAAGATATTGACCATGAGGAGTCGTTGAATCTACTCCACTTAAGGAAGAGCCTCAATTTTGAAAGGGAAAGAGAATAAAAAAGCCTAGTTGTGCGGTACGGTTTTGAGGATATGGTGGCTTATGCATTGGTTGCCACAAGCTAAGAGCCATCCACTTTTAAGGAAGCTGCACATGATAGTGACGGTAGCAGGTGGAGTGAAGCCTTGGATGAAGAAATGAAATATCTTCAAAAGAATCGTACTTGGGATCTCGTAAAGTTGCCTAAAGGCAAAAGAGCTATTGGTTGTAAATGAGTTTATAAGAAGAAAGATGGGTCACTTGAGGCTAGTGGTGATCTATTTACGGCACGTTTGATTGCAAAAGGCTATGCGCAGAAAGAAAGTATTAATTATAATGATATTTTCTCTCCAGTTATGAAACAGACTTCTATCGGGGTTTTATTAGATATAGTTGCATTGTTTGATTTGGAGTTAAAGCAGTTTGATGTCAAGACTGCCTTCCTTCATGGAGAGTTAGAAGAACAGCTTTATATGACTCTGCTAGAAGGGTTTGTTGTTAAACGAAATGAGGACCATGTCTTCAAGTTGGAGAAGTCGTTGTACGGCCTAAAGCCGTCTCTTAGGCAGTGGTGCAAACATTTTGATACATTCATGATTGGATACGGGTATGTCAGAAGTAAATATGACAATTGTGTCTATTTTAAGAATTTATTGATGGTTCGTTCATCTGTTTATTGCTTTATGTGGATGATATGCTTATTGTTGTAAAGAATCAAATTGAAGACTCAGCTTGTCAGAGAATTTGAAATAAAAGATTTAGGTTCATCAAAGAAAATTTTGAGTATGGAGATTCGTAGAGATCGAAAGTTGGATAAATTGTGGCTATTTCAAAAGGAGTACATTGAGAAGATCCTCGTTAGATTCGGGATGAAAAATTCAAAGCCCATGGGTACTCCTCTTGCTGCACATTTCAGATTGTCGGCAACATTATCTCTAAGTTCAGATGCTGAAAAGGAATACATGTCACGTGTTCCCTATGCGAGTGCAGCTGGAAGTCTTATGTATGTAATGGTTTGCACTTGTCCAAATATTTTTCATATTGTTAGTGTTGTTAGTAAGTATATGGCTAATCCATGAAAGGAGCATTGACATGCGGTAAAATGGATTCTACGTTACCTAAGGGGTACATCAAAAGGTCTAATGTTTGATAGAGATAGCAAGTTTTGGTGACAAGGTTGTTGGTTATATTGATGCTGATTTTGAGGGTTTTTGCAGAGAGAGAAAATTATAGAGAAGAAGGCTTTGTAGGAGATTGAGTGTCTAGTTTTCACAAGTAAGTTGCTTTGTAATTTCTTTTTTTGACTTAGTGAAAAACATCGATTGTCTTCGTCCGTGGATGTAGTCACAATTGTGACGACCCACATAATTCTTGATGTTCTTTTTCTGTAATTCATTTTCTACTTTATTTTTGTTGCTTGTTGCTTGTTGCTTGTTGCTTGTTGCTTGTTGCTTGTTGCTTGTTGCTTGTTGCTTGTTGCTTGTTGCTTGTTGCTTGTTGCTTGTTGCTTGTTGCTTGTTGCTTGTTTTTTTGTCGATTTATTTTTCCGTAGCTTATTTATCAAAAATCAACCTTAGAGCTTCCGTGCACAACATTCCCTTCATGAACTTGAGATAGTTCTTAACCTTCTTGTCGAAATACGTGTATGAAAGTATTTGAGGTCACATTATAGTCCCATCTCCCACTCTACTAATCTCTATTGTCGAATAAATCAATTTTCGGGTTGACATTTATATCACTTAAATTCATATCAGACGTTGACGAACATATCCATGCTCTGGTAACAAAGCCTTGGCGATGGCGACGGATTTTCCTATTAATTTTAGCTTTTTGATCTGATGGAAAGCCAAGATATCAATTCAAACAATACAAAAATACATATGGAAGAAATTAGATGCACGGGTCGTAATTTATTTATAAAATTATGTTTCTTTATATTGTATTTGTTAAAGGCTATCCCAAATCATAATACGTTGTGTGTTTGTATGACAAGCAATTGCAATCTCCATCATTTTCTCATGCCCAAAAGACTTTGCATATCTCGATTTTTTTTCTTTTTTATTTATTTATTTTTTGGCCGTCTTGAGTTTTGAGATATTACTGTATATTTGGGATGTTGTTACCTCTGTTGGAAAGAATGGTTGGAGAAAAGGAAAGAAATGGCAAAAGTGCTCCATTAGTTTTATTTATTTTGTTTCTAATCTAGGGGAATAAAGGAATTTCACATAAAGTTAGCACAAAAAAAGAAAAAAAAAACAATTTGCGGAAGCAAAATATGTTGGTAATGAACCAATTTTCTTATTGTTTTAAGTTATCATAGAATATACAAGAGGATCACAAATTTAGTGCTGCCTTCTAGTAGAACCGCTAACAAATAAAGCAAGGAAATGGAAAAATAAGGGAAAATTTTGAAGGAGTGAATTATATGCAAAAAATAAATATTAATTTCTTTTATGCATTAGCATATTTTCATCATTTTATAGCTCTCTAACTTGGTTCCATAGCACTTAATCATGAGCATTCCAATAATTATTTGTTTTGAAGAGAAATGCGAGCTAGTTTGCCCTCCATCTCCACTCAATAGAAAGTAGGGTCATTTCATTCATGGAATCATATAAAAAACTGGTGTGTAGCCGAAACCTAAGCATCAAGCTCATAAATAAATAGATAAAATGAAATTACAATCCATGGAATAGACAATTTATTTGAAACCATTTGAAAGGAGAAGATCTATAGAGAATATTTTTATTTTTTCCCCACAATAAAGCAAGATACTGAGCTGTTGTGGTAATTGCAAGGTTCAAAGACTGTGACGAGAGCCTGAAGCCTCTTCATCTCTCCTCCAAAAAACTGACAGACCTTGGTTTCAAGTTCAAGTACACAGCGGAGGATATGTTTGACCAGGCAATCATGGCGTGCCGTGAGAAGGGGCTTATACCATTATCTACAAAGGCTACTCAAGTTTGAAGAGACACATGAACAATTGCTACTGTTACTGGGGTTGTTTTCTTTTCTTAATCTTTTTTCATTAAGCAAGATTCTGTGCTGCTAAAATTATGTCTTCAGTTTCATAGGAAGAACATAATATGTTGATTATGTTAAAAACTTCCAAATTATTATAACATCGCATTGCGAGACAAGTACTTATGCGTCATTTGTTTTTCTTACTTATTTGTTAAGAAAGTACTATCTTAATTTTCCGTTTCATGGGAGACATGTTCTCTTTATGCACTCCAAGGGGTCCAAGCACAAAAAATAAAAGGGGCTGTATGTTTCATTTTCCTTTGGCATAAATATGTCACAATTATATTTAGTTGTTATATGACAAATCCTACAGCTTCCAACAAGTAAAATAGAATTAGTAATTTTCTTTTGATCTTCGGGCCAATAGTATATAGCCCCTATCTGCACAATTTTAAAACCAACGGTCAAGAGTGATTGTGACCAGCTTACAACAAAAATAAATATTCTTATTCTATACTCTTATCAAAATAAAAACCATGTAACATAGCAACATAAGCAGTAACAATGGCAGATGTTCTTCAGAGTATCGCTCCCTAAAATTTTTTTAAAAACTCTAACCTAGGACAATACTTAATAATCTGGTTACAAAATCCAAAGCAAGAAACTTGAATTTTAAATAATATGTATAGCTTGCTTTTGTTGGAGCAATTATACACTTACTCCTTTGGGTGAACAAGTATGCAGTTTCTCCCTTAGGTGAAAGAGTTATTTATGATGATTTAAATATTTTCATGAAAATAAAAAATAATTTGCATTTTAAATTCTTAAATACTTAGATTTTACCAATGTTTAAAGCATCGCTTACCCGATAGGGAATCTGGGAATCCAGATAAGGAATTGCCATGACCATCTCAGATCCAATAAAGGATTCGGATGATTCAGAATAATAGACTCGCCGATTCTGACAATTCTTCATCGAGTCCAACCGATTCTTCACTAATTCCGACCAATTATTCACCGAGTCAAGTGAAAAAAAAAGGATGAGCAATTTTTTTCTTGAATTAGTTTTTTAAAAAAATTGGGACAAAAATTACGGATTCCACCTATTCTTACAACCCGATCCACCGATTCCTTCGATCCAACACGGGTATGGGTCTGACCGATTCGAGTCACATTTTACCATCTAAGAATAGGACATTCTATGTTTGATTTTGGAATTTTTTTTTTGTTTTTTTTTTTCTTTTTTGTTTTGGGGTTGTTATCCTCGTTTGGTCTAAAATACTTGCCGACTGTGTTTTGCCCTCAGGAATGCCGCCCTCAGGAATGCACACAGGAAATGATTGTGCAGCTTAAAACTATCCCCAAAGATTAGTTGTGAAATTTCATAATTTTTCATACGAAGAGCGAACTTTTCATATCCACCTGTGAAACATGATCTACAAATAAGAAAACTGATTTTCTTCCCTAGTAGACGAAAAGGGTTAAACACATAGTCCATCGAGCCTATGTTCGAGCAGGCATAGATAAATTGTTTTAGTGCAAAAGAGATGATAGAGTAAAATTCCGAAGATGATATAAGTGTATCTCTACCCAATTCGGGAGCTTTCAAGCATTTATGCAAGGGAAAGAAATGAGATCATTGCAAGTTCAAAATAGAGAATGTGTAATGGAGATTGGTGCTTTTTGGTGTTGGGTTTTAGTCTTGGAAGCTAAGAATATAGCAAAGGCACAGAAATTGAAAGCAAGAAAATCCAGTTGCAGAGGAATCATTTATAATAAGCTATTGGTTCCTCTATTTGCAACATTAGGTTCCCTCCATTTCAGAACTACAAAAAAACCCTAATTGAGTGCTAAAATTGAGCACATATAACCATGAGAAGATTTTTAATCATCAACCCGGAGGAAGCGGACCGAAAAGAGTAGGGTTCTATGAATGAATGGTCTCTCAATTTTAAGAATGAAGAAATAGAGGCAGAGATGAAGTTTCTTCTTGATGTAGGGCCCAATATGGGACACAAATCCAGTGTGGACTGATACTTTCCCTGAGCTTGGAAGGGTAAGGTCCAATATGAGACCTAGAAATCCAGCATGGATTGCTAATTTCCATGAGCTTAGAATGGTATGAGCTTAGAATGGTATAATGATCGTTTTCCAAAGTCTTAAAAGGAGTAAAGAGAGAGTCATCGTGAGGAGTTTTCATGATTTAGGAGTTGCAGTATACTTAAGAACTTGGTGGATTGTGCAATGGGAATGAGTTTAACTTTTAATATGCAAACGTGGTGGATTGTGCAATGAGAATGAGTTTGCTTTTAATATGTATTAGACACTTGAAAGACAATTAGCATAAAAAGAGTTGGACCATAGTTACTGGGAGCAGGAGCAGGGGCAGGAGCAGGAGCGGGGAGCGGTTTTGATTCCAGGAGCAAGAGCGTGGGATTGCTGGCTGCCTGAAGCTCCAGAGCTTTGGGCGAGATCTGGTGGGGGTAAAAGTTACGGATCGCGATCTCGTTTGAATAGCTAGCGAGATCTCGATACATTGGGATCGGGATCCCTAATTAAAGGGACATGTTCAATGTATTTACGAAACGAGATCCTGTTTAAATAAGGAGCGAGATCTTGAGACATCAGGATCGAGATCCCTATTTGATAGGAGCGCGATGCCTTTAAATTGGGATCACGCTCCCATGTCTATTAGGATCGCACTCCTGTCGACAACAAGAACGAGATCCCTTTTAATGCCGAGTCTCCATCCCATCTAAACAATACACAATCCTATTTGGATAGGATCAAGCTCCATTCATTGTAGGATCGCGTTTCGCACAATAATGGTCTGTGCCCCCATTGCAAAACTACACTTGTATGAAGTATCCAATTCCATTACACATGGCTTTGTGGACCAAGCATGGCAGCTCCTTCCCATATAAATGCGATCTTAATTTGGTTAATTTAGACACAATTGTTCTATCTATCAATGGCCCATGCGGTTAGATCCATGCACAACCAGTCCTAGATTTTCATGGATTAATTTAATCCCATTATTCTAGTATGAAATAAAGTCTTCTAATCCTATGACTGATTAATGCTAATAGGGTTCAAATTCGCATACATGATACAAAAATGACCTTTACGTTGGAAATTTGTTGCCTAGGATTTGGGTTCCCTTTGGATGCAACCTAAGCATATATAGTTACTGTTAGGCCTAAATTCGGGAAATGCATCACCGTTATTTTTTGGTAGAAATAATTATATTAAAATTTTACAAAAAATATTAATTTTTTATATTTAAATGTTAATTTTTTTTAATAAGTTTATTTAGAAAGTTATAAAATAATAAAATAAATTTGTAAAATCAAAGATATAGGAAAAAGTTTATATAAGGTTCCAACGGTAAAATGTACAACTACGGATACACCCCACAAAAGGTTGTTTTAATGTTCAAAAAGTCCCTAAGTGAGCATCTAGACATCAAGATGTATGAGTGTATGAAAAAAAAAAAAATTTCTAAGTGCCAGAAATCACGAGCACACGGGACAACTCAACGTGTATCTTGCAACATATTATCTGCACCATCCATTTTAAGGATTTTCATATGTTTATAGATCTATATGATTTTAAGTTGTTAACCACTTTTTGAGCTTAAAAGTAATCCTAATGGATCAGGGTAACGAGCAGACCGGACAACTCAACGTGCAATCTAATTTCCATTCTCTGATGGATCATGGATCTTGTTATATTTGCTATTGCAAAATGCTCCCGCATTACCTAAGAATAGATAAATGTTTGTTATATTTGCTATTACTTAATGGCCATTTTTTTCCATCTCGAATTGAAATAGAAGCATGTAGGTGAATTCCAGGGAATTTTTTAGTAATTTCATTTCATTCCCACTTACTATATACACGCTGTAAAATAAATGTCCACGTAATTTACAATGACATCACAATAAAGAAATAACAATCATAAAAAAAGCCATAGATAGTGTGAGAGAGAAAAGTGTTAATCTTATTCAGGCACGAATTCATTCAAATGCTACACAGAGAGAGAGAGAGAGAGAGAGAGAGAGAGAGAACTAGAGGTTCATCCGGTTGGAAGCCCTCCAGACACAATCTTTGCTTGACAGTCGTTGAAGAAGTAGCTTCACCTCTAGTGGGTGGGATCGAAATTAAAGATAGCACCGGAGTATGGGATTGCGAACCATGGTCATAATGGAGATCTAAAGGGATATCATGCTCTTCAACAATAGGCGGGAGAATAGCCGGTATAGCATGTGTTGGGTGAGTTGCCAAATCATCATCCTCTTCGAAATGCTCATCCATCGCAGCTAAGGCATCTATATCATCAACAAGGTGGTCATCTTCAGAATGAGTATTCCAGTTCTTGTAGTTGGTCTCATAATCAGTCTTTAATCTGCTTAGTAGCCTGTTATTGTAATGAACATAAACCAATGACTCAGATTGATCATAATTTAGTTGATTACGCTTAACACTGCGGATGTAACTATACGTGCTCCAGCATCTCTCTACACATGAAGAGTTAACGCTCCGGGACAACACCTTAACTGCAATTGAATACAATGCTGGGGCCCACGCACCATACAAGTCCCACCACGACACTGATGACATTGTACCTCTATCAGCTATGGACGCTGACAGTGAGAAACACCCCTTGCTACTAACAAAATCACTTATTTGTTTTCGTACCCTGCTTCGCTCAGCCTAATCCTTTACTATCGCATCATGGTAGCACGCAGATACCTCAATATCCTGATGGGGCTTCAACCTCCTCTCCCCACCAGGTGTAGGTACTGACAACCATTCATGAGAATAATATTTAGGGCTAAGAAGAAAAGCAAGACAATGAAGTAGAAGGTTAGCCCTGTTCTATCTGACTACCACTAAGTCCCTGACTTTTTGAAGCAACACTTGATCATCATATAAAGCCACCGATATTTCTTCCAACATGGTATCCATACGCTCGTATGCATCTCCAATTACGACCTTATCACTATTTGCAAACTTTATCATCTTCCAGATTGGCCTTGTGAACAAAAAAATATTTTTGTTTGTTGCCAAGAAATTATCTTCCATCACTACTATGCATACTTCAGCATGCTCCGCGTCTCCCGGACCACGTCTGAGTCCTTCCCAATGGTCCCCCAAGACGAGGGATGTTAAGGCGAGCTTCACTTCCTTAAGGCGCCTTAACATGATGTAGTGATGACCGAATCTGGTCTTCT